CATTCTGGTAAAACTATGTGGCAGGATCAGCACCTAAATTCAGCAAGCTGCTGCCTATAAAACCACAGTAGACGAACCTTGGCTTCTGACTTAATATATATGAAAAAAACGGACATGCAATTATCCATGCAAATTCTTAATTGAATCTGTCGATGACAATGCACCATATGTATTTCCAACGATTGTTGGTTTCATTTGCCTTTGTGTTGTTCAACTTGTTTTCCTTTTGCTGTTCGAACTGCCCATGTAAGTAGGGCCATGCATGCTTTTACACTTTACTGAGATTGTATTCAGATATTCGCCACTCTTATTTTAGGTACTTAAGATGTTGCACACTTTACAGTAATTGTATTCAGATATCCTCCACTCTTATTTTAGGTATTTAAGATGTTGCACACTTTACTGTAAATGTATTCAGATATTCTCCACTCTTATTTCAGGTATTTAAGATGTTGCAAAAAAATGGTAGGATTCTCTTCAAATGAAGAAATAATTACTTGATTGATTGCTTATCCCATCCATTTGAAATTCAATAGTGGCCAGCAATTTTTAAAGAGCCATGCTACAGTAAAAAGAACAGGAAGTAGTTTTTACTGGCAGAAAAGCACCTAATATTAGCAAGCTGCTGCCAATAATCTGGCCAAGGAGTAAAGTTTCTGAAGGGAGAGATATTCTTATTACAAAGCTTAGCATGCTGCAGTCAGTGATGAAATAGAATAGGGTATTTATATACGGCAGATACAGCACCTAAGAATAACAAGCTGCTGCCTACAGAACCCTAAAAAAGATGAAGATTGATTGAATCTTTATAGGCCAGGGCTTAGACATTTTTAGAAACAGCAGCTAAGACCAGTAACGTGATGCCTATGTATGAATTCTTCTTCCGAGCGAGGATGTTCAGCACTCCTTCCCTCCCACCACCATCCTGGCAAAGGACCGGCACTGGAGTACCCAAAGAGAGGCGTCTCTAATGGACCAGACAGGTTCGTTTTTCATTTAATGTCCAAAAGGGAAGTAAAGGTTCGATGGGAAGTCGGTGTTATAATTAGAAACGTTTCAAGAGACTGACGGTCAAGCAGGAAATGCATCCCGTTGCGATTGTAAATGAAAAAGTAACACACATTCTGACATCCGTAAGCATTCCACATTCTTGAGCATTTCTTACCTACATTATGACCTTGTATTTTTCCACATGCATTGAAATTCATGGAGACATAGCTTTTAATTCTGCACCTAGAGTGAAACTTAAAGCATAGAAACCAAGGTGTAAAAACGTGGTTTTTGTGGAGGTACAGTAATTCTCTCCGGTTTTCTATCTTCTCTTAGAGTACATCCTGTTTCAAGAGATGTATTCTGGAAGAGCGTCGAGTCATGTAGGACCATACAAGAAAAAAGGTGAGAATTGCTAGGTTACTTGTCTTCTTTGCTTCCCAAACATACTGATTGAAAAGGAAAGGTACATGAAAATTTGTGGAAACTATGCTTTTGTGCGAGAAATAAAGGACACGAACATTCAGAAATCTTTCCGCATTCCATTTTCTTCAGCTTGTCGTTCTTACGAAGGGATCGGTTTTCTTGAGCTCATCCTACCCACCCTGTGACCTTATAGTTTTCAACAAGCATTGTGCTCCCATTGGAAATCTAGCTTTTGATTAAAATCAAAATTGAGCGAATGGCGGGGAAAGCATAAAAATCAAGCTGTGAAGACGTTCTGTTCAGGGAAGTTCTTTAGTTTTCTTGTTTTCTGTTTTCTCAGAATACATCTTGTGTCAAGAGATTTGCTGTGGAAGAGAATCGAGTCCTGTAGGACCAGCGGAGAGAAAAGGTGAGAAATTTGCAATCTTGTTTGTTTTCTTTATCTTTAAAATTGACTGAAGTTATTGGAAAGATATAATGAGAGTCAGAAGACCAAGTAGTAGGCTAAATGGCAGAGACAGCACCTAAGATTAGCAAGCTGCTGCCAATAACTAGTGATGTTTGATATATTTATAAGCATTCTGGTAAAAACTCGTGGCAGAGACAGCCCCTAAGATTAGCAAGCTGCTGCCAATAACTAGTGATATTTTATACATTTATAAGCATTCTGGTAAAACTATGTGGCAGGATCAGCACCTAAATTCAGCAAGCTGCTGCCTATAAAACCACAGTAGACGAACCTTGGCTTCTGACTTAATATATATGAAAAAAACGGACATGCAATTATCCATGCAAATTCTTAATTGAATCTGTCGATGACAATGCACCATATGTATTTCCAACGATTGTTGGTTTCATTTGCCTTTGTGTTGTTCAACTTGTTTTCCTTTTGCTGTTCGAACTGCCCATGTAAGTAGGGCCATGCATGCTTTTACACTTTACTGAGATTGTATTCAGATATTCGCCACTCTTATTTTAGGTACTTAAGATGTTGCACACTTTACAGTAATTGTATTCAGATATCCTCCACTCTTATTTTAGGTATTTAAGATGTTGCACACTTTACTGTAAATGTATTCAGATATTCTCCACTCTTATTTCAGGTATTTAAGATGTTGCAAAAAAATGGTAGGATTCTCTTCAAATGAAGAAATAATTACTTGATTGATTGCTTATCCCATCCATTTGAAATTCAATAGTGGCCAGCAATTTTTAAAGAGCCATGCTACAGTAAAAAGAACAGGAAGTAGTTTTTACTGGCAGAAAAGCACCTAATATTAGCAAGCTGCTGCCAATAATCTGGCCAAGGAGTAAAGTTTCTGAAGGGAGAGATATTCTTATTACAAAGCTTAGCATGCTGCAGTCAGTGATGAAATAGAATAGGGTATTTATATACGGCAGATACAGCACCTAAGAATAACAAGCTGCTGCCTACAGAACCCTAAAAAAGATGAAGATTGATTGAATCTTTATAGGCCAGGGCTTAGACATTTTTAGAAACAGCAGCTAAGACCAGTAACGTGATGCCTATGTATGAATTCTTCTTCCGAGCGAGGATGTTCAGCACTCCTTCCCTCCCACCACCATCCTGGCAAAGGACCGGCACTGGAGTACCCAAAGAGAGGCGTCTCTAATGGACCAGACAGGTTCGTTTTTCATTTAATGTCCAAAAGGGAAGTAAAGGTTCGATGGGAAGTCGGTGTTATAATTAGAAACGTTTCAAGAGACTGACGGTCAAGCAGGAAATGCATCCCGTTGCGATTGTAAATGAAAAAGTAACACACATTCTGACATCCGTAAGCATTCCACATTCTTGAGCATTTCTTACCTACATTATGACCTTGTATTTTTCCACATGCATTGAAATTCATGGAGACATAGCTTTTAATTCTGCACCTAGAGTGAAACTTAAAGCATAGAAACCAAGGTGTAAAAACGTGGTTTTTGTGGAGGTACAGTAATTCTCTCCGGTTTTCTATCTTCTCTTAGAGTACATCCTGTTTCAAGAGATGTATTCTGGAAGAGCGTCGAGTCATGTAGGACCATACAAGAAAAAAGGTGAGAATTGCTAGGTTACTTGTCTTCTTTGCTTCCCAAACATACTGATTGAAAAGGAAAGGTACATGAAAATTTGTGGAAACTATGCTTTTGTGCGAGAAATAAAGGACACGAACATTCAGAAATCTTTCCGCATTCCATTTTCTTCAGCTTGTCGTTCTTACGAAGGGATCGGTTTTCTTGAGCTCATCCTACCCACCCTGTGACCTTATAGTTTTCAACAAGCATTGTGCTCCCATTGGAAATCTAGCTTTTGATTAAAATCAAAATTGAGCGAATGGCGGGGAAAGCATAAAAATCAAGCTGTGAAGACGTTCTGTTCAGGGAAGTTCTTTAGTTTTCTTGTTTTCTGTTTTCTCAGAATACATCTTGTGTCAAGAGATTTGCTGTGGAAGAGAATCGAGTCCTGTAGGACCAGCGGAGAGAAAAGGTGAGAAATTTGCAATCTTGTTTGTTTTCTTTATCTTTAAAATTGACTGAAGTTATTGGAAAGATATAATGAGAGTCAGAAGACCAAGTAGTAGGCTAAATGGCAGAGACAGCACCTAAGATTAGCAAGCTGCTGCCAATAACTAGTGATGTTTTATATATTTATAAGCATTCTGCTAAAAACTCGTGGCAGAGACAGCACCTAAGATTACCAAGCTGCTGCCAATAACTAGTGATGTTTGATATATTTATAAGCATTCTGGTAAAAACTCGTGGCAGAGACAGCACCTAAGATTAGCAAGCTGCTGCCAATAACTAGTGATGTTTTAAACATTTATAAGCATTCTGGTAAAAACTCGTGGCAGAGACAGCCCCTAAGATTAGCAAGCTGCTGCCAATAACTAGTGATGTTTTATACATTTATAAGCATTCTGGTAAAACTATGTGGCAGGATCAGCACCTAAATTCAGCAAGCTGCTGCCTATAAAACCACAGTAGACGAACCTTGGCTTCTGACTTAATAAATATGAAAAAAACGGACATGCAATTATCCTTGCAAATTCTTAATTGAATCTGTCGATGAATATGCCCCATATGTATTTCCAACGATTGTCGGTTTCATTTGCCTTTGTGTTGTTCAACTTGTTTTCCTTTTGCTGTTCGAGCTGCCCATGTAAGTAGGGCCATGCATGCTTTTACACTTTACTGAAATTGTATTCAGATATTCTCCACTCTTATTTTAGGTATTTAACATGTTGCACACTTTACTGTAATTGTATTCAGATATCTTCCACTCTTATTTTAGGTATTTAAGATGTTGCACACTTTACTGTAATTGTATTCAGATATTCTCCACTCTTATTTCTGGTATTTAAGATGTTGCAAAAGAATGGTACGATTCTCTTCAAATGAAGAAATAATTACTTGATTGATTGCTTATCCCATCCATTTGAAATTCAATAGTGGCCAGCAATTTTTAAAGAGCCATGCTACAGTAAAAAGAACAGGAAGTAGTTTTTACTGGCAGAAAAAGCACCTAATATTAGCAAGCTGCTGCTAATAATCTGGCCTAGGAGTAAAAGTTTCTGAAGGGAGAGATATTCTTATTACAAAGCTTAGCATGCTGCAGTCAATGATGAAATAGAATAGGGTATTTATATACGGCAGATACAGCACCTAAGAATAACAAGCTGCTGCCTACAGAACCCTAACAAAGATGAAGATTGATTGAATCTTTTTAGGCCAGGGCTTAGCCATTTTTAGAAACAGCAGCTAAGACCAGTAACGTGATGCCGATGTATGAATTCTTCTTCCGAGCGAGGATGTTCAGCACTCCTTCCCTCCCACCACCATCCTGGCAAAGGACCGGCACTGGAGTACCCAAAGAGAGGCGTCTCTAATGGACCAGACAGGTTCGTTTTTCATTTAATGTCCAAAAGGGAAGTAAAGGTTGGATGGGAAGTCGGTGTTATAATTAGAAACGTTTCAAGAGACTGACGGTCAAGCAGGAAATGCATCCCGTTGCGATTGTAAATGAAAAAGTAACACACATTCTGACATCCGTAAGCATTCCACATTCTTGAGCATTTCTTACCTACATTATGACCTTGTATTTTTCCACATGCATTGAAATTCATGGAGACATAGCTTTTAATTCTGCACCTAGAGTGAAACTTAAAGCATAGAAACCAAGGTGTAAAAACGTGGTTTTTGTGGAGGTACAGTAATTCTCTCCGGTTTTCTATCTTCTCTTAGAGTACATCCTGTTTCAAGAGATGTATTCTGGAAGAGCGTCGAGTCATGTAGGACCATACAAGAGAAAAGGTGAGAATTGCTAGGTTACTTGTCTTCTTTGCTTCCCAAGCATACTGATTTAAAAGGAAAGGTACATGAAAATTTGTGGAAACTATGCTTTTGTGCGAGAAATAAAGGACACGAACATTCAGAAATCTTTCCGCATTCCATTTTCTTCAGCTTGTCGTTCTTACGAAGGGATCGGTTTTCTTGAGCTCATCCTACCCACCCTGTGACCTTATAGTTTTCAACAAGCATTGTGCTCCCATTGGAAATCTAGCTTTTGATTAAAATCAAAATTGAGCGAATGGCGGGGAAAGCATAAAAATCAAGCTGTGAAGACGTTCTGTTCAGGGAAGTTCTTTAGTTTTCTTGTTTTCTGTTTTCTCAGAATACATCTTGTGTCAAGAGATTTGCTGTGGAAGAGAATCGAGTCCTGTAGGACCAGCGGAGAGAAAAGGTGAGAAATTTGCAATCTTGTTTGTTTTCTTTATCTTTAAAATTGACTGAAGTTATTGGAAAGATATAATGAGAGTCAGAAGACCAAGTAGTAGGCTAAATGGCAGAGACAGCACCTAAGATTAGCAAGCTGCTGCCAATAACTAGTGATGTTTTATATATTTATAAGCATTCTGCTAAAAACTCGTGGCAGAGACAGCACCTAAGATTAGCAAGCTGCTGCCAATAACTAGTGATGTTTGATATATTTATAAGCATTCTGCTAAAAACTCGTGGCAGAGACAGCACCTAAGATTAGCAAGCTGCTGCCAATAACTAGTGATGTTTGATATATTTATAAGCATTCTGGTAAAAACTCGTGGCAGAGACAGCCCCTAAGATTAGCAAGCTGCTGCCAATAACTAGTGATATTTTATACATTTATAAGCATTCTGGTAAAACTATGTGGCAGGATCAGCACCTAAATTCAGCAAGCTGCTGCCTATAAAACCACAGTAGACGAACCTTGGCTTCTGACTTAATATATATGAAAAAAACGGACATGCAATTATCCATGCAAATTCTTAATTGAATCTGTCGATGAATATGCCCCATATGTATTTCCAACGATTGTTGGTTTCATTTCCCTTTGTGTTGTTCAACTTGTTTTCCTTTTGCTGTTCGAACTGCCCATGTAAGTAGGGCCATGCATGCTTTTACACTTTACTGAGATTGTATTCAGATATTCGCCACTCTTATTTTAGGTACTTAAGATGTTGCACACTTTACAGTAATTGTATTCAGATATCCTCCACTCTTATTTTAGGTATTTAAGATGTTGCACACTTTACTGTAAATGTATTCAGATATTCTCCACTCTTATTTCAGGTATTTAAGATGTTGCAAAAAAATGGTAGGATTCTCTTCAAATGAAGAAATAATTACTTGATTGATTGCTTATCCCATCCATTTGAAATTCAATAGTGGCCAGCAATTTTTAAAGAGCCATGCTACAGTAAAAAGAACAGGAAGTAGTTTTTACTGGCAGAAAAGCACCTAATATTAGCAAGCTGCTGCCAATAATCTGGCCAAGGAGTAAAGTTTCTGAAGGGAGAGATATTCTTATTACAAAGCTTAGCATGCTGCAGTCAGTGATGAAATAGAATAGGGTATTTATATACGGCAGATACAGCACCTAAGAATAACAAGCTGCTGCCTACAGAACCCTAAAAAAGATGAAGATTGATTGAATCTTTATAGGCCAGGGCTTAGACATTTTTAGAAACAGCAGCTAAGACCAGTAACGTGATGCCTATGTATGAATTCTTCTTCCGAGCGAGGATGTTCAGCACTCCTTCCCTCCCACCACCATCCTGGCAAAGGACCGGCACTGGAGTACCCAAAGAGAGGCGTCTCTAATGGACCAGACAGGTTCGTTTTTCATTTAATGTCCAAAAGGGAAGTAAAGGTTCGATGGGAAGTCGGTGTTATAATTAGAAACGTTTCAAGAGACTGACGGTCAAGCAGGAAATGCATCCCGTTGCGATTGTAAATGAAAAAGTAACACACATTCTGACATCCGTAAGCATTCCACATTCTTGAGCATTTCTTACCTACATTATGACCTTGTATTTTTCCACATGCATTGAAATTCATGGAGACATAGCTTTTAATTCTGCACCTAGAGTGAAACTTAAAGCATAGAAACCAAGGTGTAAAAACGTGGTTTTTGTGGAGGTACAGTAATTCTCTCCGGTTTTCTATCTTCTCTTAGAGTACATCCTGTTTCAAGAGATGTATTCTGGAAGAGCGTCGAGTCATGTAGGACCATACAAGAGAAAAGGTGAGAATTGCTAGGTTACTTGTCTTCTTTGCTTCCCAAACATACTGATTGAAAAGGAAAGGTACATGAAAATTTGTGGAAACTATGCTTTTGTGCGAGAAATAAAGGACACGAACATTCAGAAATCTTTCCGCATACCATTTTCTTTAGCTTGTCGTTCTTACGAAAGGATCGGTTTTCTTGAGCTCATCCTACCCACCCTATGACCTTATAGTTTTCAACAAGCATTGTGCTCCCATTGGAAACCTAGCTTTTGATTAAAATCAAAATTGAGCGAATGGCGGGGAAAGCATAAAAATCAAGCTGTGAAGACTCTGTTCAGGGAAGTTCTTTAGTTTTCTTGTTTTCTGTTTTCTCAGAATACATCTTGTGTCAAGAGATTTGCTGTGGAAGAGAATCGAGTCCTGTGGGACCAGCGGAGAGAAAAGGTGAGAAATTTGCAATCTTGTTTGTTTTCTTTATCTATAAAATTGACTGAAGTTATTGGAAAGATATAATGAGAGTCAGAAGACCAAGTAGTAGGCTAAATGGCAGAGACAGCACCTAAGATTAGCAAGCTGCTGCCAATAACTAGTGATGTTTTATATATTTATAAGCATTCTGCTAAAAACTCGTGGCAGAGACAGCACCTAAGATTAGCAAGCTGCTGCCAATAACTAGTGATGTTTGATATATTTATAAGCATTCTGCTAAAAACTCGTGGCAGAGACAGCACCTAAGATTAGCAAGCTGCTGCCAGTAACTAGTGATGTTTTATATATTTATAAGCATTCTGCTAAAAACTCGTGGCAGAGACAGCACCTAAGATTAGCAAGCTGCTGCCAATAACTAGTGATGTTTGATATATTTATAAGCATTCTGCTAAAAACTCGTGGCAGAGACAGCACCTAAGATTAGCAAGCTGCTGCCAATAACTAGTGATGTTTGATATATTTATAAGCATTCTGGTAAAAACTCGTGGCAGAGACAGCACCTAAGATTAGCAAGCTGCTGCCAATAACTAGTGATGTTTTATACATTTATAAGCATTCTGGTAAAACCATGTGGCAGGATCAGCACCTAAATTCAGCAAGCTGCTGCCTATAAAACCACAGAAGACGAACCTTGGCTTTTGACTTAATATATATGAAAAAAACGGACATGCAATTATCCTTGCAAATTCTTAATTGAATCTGTCGATGACAATGCACCATGTGTATTTCAAACGATTGTTGGTTTCATTTCCCTTTGTGTTGTTTAACTTGTTTTCCTTTTGCTGTTCGAGCTGCCCATGTAAGTAGGGCCATGCATGCTTTTACACTTTACTGAGATTGTATTCAGATATTCTCCACTCTTATTTTAGGTAGTTAAGATGTTGCACACTTTACTGTAATTGTAGTCAGATATTCTCAACTCTTATTTTAGGTATTTAAGATGTTGCAAAAGAATGGTAGGATTCTCTTCAAATGAAGAAAGAATTACCTGATTGATTGCTTATCCCATCCATTTGAAATTCAATAGTGGCCAGCAATTTTTAAAGAGCCATGCTACAGTGAAAAGAACAGGAAGTAGTTTTTACTGGCAAAAAAAGCACCTAATATTAGCAAGCTGCTGCCAATAATCTGGCCTAGGAGTAAAGTTTCTGAAGGGAGAGATATTCTTATTACGAAGCAGCTGATATAACCCTTAAGCTTTGCATGCTGCAGTCAATGATGAAATAGAATAGGGCATTTATATAAGGCAGATACAGCACCTAATAATAGCAAGCTGCTGCCTACAGAACCCTAAAAAAGATGAAGATTGATTGAATCTTTATAGGCCAGGACTTAGCCATTTTTAGAAACAGCAGCTAAGACCAGTAACGTGATGCCTATGTATGAATTCTTCTTCCGAGCGAGGATGTTCAGCACTCCTTCCCTCCCACCACCATCCTGGCAAAGGACCGGCACTGGAGTACCCAAAGAGAGGCGTCTCTAATGGACCAGACAGGTTCGTTTTTCATTTAATGTCCAAAAGGGAAGTAAAGGTTGGATGGGAAGTCGGTGTTATAATTAGAAACGTTTCAAGAGACTGACGGTCAAGCAGGAAATGCATCCCGTTGCAATTGTAAATGAAAAAGTAACACACATTCTGACATCCGTAAGCATTCCACATTCTTGAGCATTTCTTACCTACATTATGAACTTGTATTTTTCCACATGCATTGAAATTCATGGAGACATAGCTTTTAATTCTGCACCTAGAGTGAAACTTAAAGCATAGAAGAAACCAAGGTGTAAAAACGTGGTTTTTGTGGAGGTACAGTAATTCTCTCCGGTTTTCTATCTTCTCTTAGAGTACATCCTGTTTCAAGAGATGTATTCTGGAAGAGCGTCGAGTCATGTAGGACCATACAAGAGAAAAGGTGAGAATTGCTAGGTTACTTGTCTTCTTTGCTTCCCAAGCATACTGATTTAAAAGGAAAGGTACATGAAAATTTGTGGAAACTATGCTTTTGTGCGAGAAATAAAGGACACGAACATTCAGAAATCTTTCCGTATTCCATTTTCTTCAGCTTGTCGTTCTTACGAAGGGATCGGTTTTCTTGAGCTCATCCTACCCACCTCATCCTACCCACCCTATGACCTTATAGTTTTCAACAAGCATTGTGCTCCCATTGGAAACCTAGCTTTTGATTAAAATCAAAATTGAGCGAATGGCGTGGAAAGCATAAAAATCAAGCTGTGAAGACGTTCTGTTCAGGGAAGTTCTTTAGTTTTCTTGTTTTCTGTTTTCTCAGAATACATCTTGTGTCAAGAGATTTGCTGTGGAAGAGAATCGAGTCCTGTGGGACCAGCGGAGAGAAAAGGTGAGAAATTTGCAATCTTGTTTGTTTTCTTTATCTTTAAAATTGACTGACGTTATTGGAAAGATATAATGAGAGTCAGAAGACCAAGTAGTAGGCTAAATGGCAGAGACAGCACCTAAGATTAGCAAGCTGCTGCCAATAACTAGTGATGTTTGATATATTTATAAGCATTCTGCTAAAAGGTCGTGGCAGAGACAGCACCTAAGATTACCAAGCTGCTGCCAATAACTAGTGATGTTTTGTATATTTATAAGCATTCTGCTAAAAACTCGTGGCAGAGACAGCACCTAAGATTAGCAAGCTGCTGCCAATAACTAGTGATGTTTGATATATTTATAAGCATTCTGGTAAAAACTCGTGGCAGAGACAGCACTTAAGATTAGCAAGCTGCTGCCAATAACTAGTGATGTTTGATATATTTATAAGCATTCTGGTAAAAACTCGTGGCAGAGACAGCACTTAAGATTAGCAAGCTGCTGCCAATAACTAGTGATGTTTGATATATTTATAAGCATTCTGCTAAAAACTCGTGGCAGAGACAGCACCTAAGATTAGCAAGCTGCTGCCAATAACTAGTGATGTTTTATACATTTATAAGCATTCTGGTAAAACCATGTGGCAGGATCAGCACCTAAATTCAGCAAGCTGCTGCCTATAAAACCACAGTAGACAAACCTTGGCTTCTGACTTAATATATATGAAAAAAACGGACATGCAATTATCCTTGCAAATTCTTAATTGAATCTGTCGATGACAATGCACCATGTGTATTTCAAACGATTGTTGGTTTCATTTCCCTTTGTGTTGTTCAGCTTGTTTTCCTTTTGCTGTTCGAGCTGCCCATGTAAGTAGGGCCATGCATGCTTTTACACTTTACTGAGATTGTATTCAGATATTCTCCACTCTTATTTTAGGTATTTAAGATGTTGCACACTTTACTGAAATTGTATTCAGATATCCTCCACTTTTATTTTAGGTAGTTAAGATGTTGCAAAAGAATGGTAGGGTTCTCTTGAAATGAAGAAATAATTACTTGATTGATTGCTTATCTCATCCATTTTGAAATTCAAAAGTGACCAGTCATTTTTTAAAGAGCCATGTAACAGTGAAAAGAACAGGAAGTAGTTTTTTACTGGCAAAAAAAGCACCTAATATTAGCAAGCTGCTGCCAATAATCTGGCCTAGGAGTAAAGTTTCTGAAGGGAGAGATATTCTTATTACGAAGCAGCTGATACAACCCTTAAGCTTTGCATGCTGCAGTCAATGATGAAATAGAATAGGGCATTTATATAAGGCAGATACAGCACCTAATAATAGCAAGCTGCTGCCTACAGAACCCTAAAAAAGATGAAGATTGATTGAATCTTTATAGGCCAGGACTTAGCCATTTTTAGAAACAGCAGCTAAGACCAGTAACGTGATGCCTATGTATGAATTCTTCTTCCGAGCGAGGATGTTCAGCACTCCTTCCCTCCCACCACCATCCTGGCAAAGGACCGGCACTGGAGTACCCAAAGAGAGGCGTCTCTAATGGACCAGACAGGTTCGTTTTTCATTTAATGTCCAAAAGGGAAGTAAAGGTTGGATGGGAAGTCGGTGTTATAATTAGAAACGTTTCAAGAGACTGACGGTCAAGCAGGAAATGCATCCCGTTGCAATTGTAAATGAAAAAGTAACACACATTCTGACATCCGTAAGCATTCCACATTCTTGAGCATTTCTTACCTACATTATGAACTTGTATTTTTCCACATGCATTGAAATTCATGGAGACATAGCTTTTAATTCTGCACCTAGAGTGAAACTTAAAGCATAGAAGAAACCAAGGTGTAAAAACGTGGTTTTTGTGGAGGTACAGTAATTCTCTCCGGTTTTCTATCTTCTCTTAGAGTACATCCTGTTTCAAGAGATGTATTCTGGAAGAGCGTCGAGTCATGTAGGACCATACAAGAGAAAAGGTGAGAATTGCTAGGTTACTTGTCTTCTTTGCTTCCCAAGCATACTGATTTAAAAGGAAAGGTACATGAAAATTTGTGGAAACTATGCTTTTGTGCGAGAAATAATGCTGCCTATAAAACCACAGTAGACGAACATTGACTTTTGACTTAATATATTATTATGAAAAAAAGGACATGCAATTATCCTTGCAAATTTTTAATTGATTCTGTCGATGACAATGCACTATGTGTATTTCAAACGATTGTTATATTTATATACGGCAGATATAGCACCTAAGAATGGCAAGCTGCTGCTTACAGAATCTTAAAAAGGGGAAGGTTTGCCCTGATCTCTTCTAACTAAGCTATATAAAGCAATGGAGCTTAATCATTATAGGCCAGGACGTAGCTATTGCTAGATACGTGTCGTGTGTGAGGAGGCGTAGGCTAAGTTGTCTTTGCGACATATTGAATTATTCTGGTGATGAGTAGCGAGTTGTTCAAACGATGTTTAGTTTCATTTCCCTTTCTGTTATTTAACGTTTCTCTTTTTCTGTTTGAATTGCCCAGGGAAGTAAGCCTATTGTTGGTTTTTGAACTTCACTGGAATTTGTATTTAGATTTAAAGACTTCCTTTTTTGAAAAGGAACAGTATTTTTTCCCGTTTTCTATTTTCTCAGGGCCCATCGTGTTTTCAAGAGATGTATTGTGAAAGAGCGTCGATTCATGTAGGACGAAACAAGAGAAATTGTTTAATCTGCTATATTGTTTGTCTTCTTTGCTTTTGAAGTATATTGAAGTACATGTACATTTACAGGGATTTTATACATAGGGGA